GAAGGAAGGAAGGAAGGAAGGAAGGAAGGAAGGAAGGAAGGAAGGAAAAAGAGCTTCAACAAAAACACAGAAGACAGACAGAAGAGCTAGCCCAATCATGTCATTGCAGACATAGTGGTAGAGCTAGGCATGGTGGCAAACACCTACAACCCCAGCACCTAAAGAGACAAGAGACAGGATCACCACATGTCCAAGGCCAGTCTGGTCTGCTATCAAGTTCTAGACCAGTCAGGGTTACATCTCAGGACAGAGAAGAAAGTAATGCCGGTGCTGAAGCCTGGGCATATCATGTTCACCTCTCAAAGCGAATTCTCTTCAGACAGTAGAGGCCAGCAAGATGGCTCAGTGGATAAAGTGCTTGATGAACAAGCCTGACAACCTGAGTTCAGTCCCCAGTCACATGAAGGGAGGGAGGAGAGAATCAACTCCACAAAGCTGTCCTCTGGCACAGACATGCCCACACACATATCTCACACACATACACACAATAATAAAATAATGTTTAATAGGCACCTAGGGCTCATTGCTGAATATCCTTCCTGCTCTCCCTTCCAGGTGACAGCCGGAATGCCCACGCTCAGCTATGCAGGCAGTCAGCCAACAGGACATCTTTTGTCCGTGCGCACAGCAACCCAAAGCTTCCTCCCTGTGTACAGATTACAACTCCTTGAGAAAAAAGGTCACTGTCTAGTATGCTTCCCTAATCCTTAAGTATGAAAAGCTCCATGTTTAGGAACCTCTCAAGGGCTCCGGCTTACTAACAACCTGGTGTGCTTTCCTCTCACACCCTAGATTATATATAGCCACTTCCTGCTACCTGATTCATTAACTCCTTCATTCAAAACTTCTTACTGGGAGGTGGTGGGATGGCTCAGTGGTAAAGGCACTTGCCACCAAGACTGACAATCTGAATACTGGGAACCTGCATGGTAAAGGGAGAGAACCGACTCTCTGAAGTTGTCCTCTGACCTCTGCACAGGAGCCATAGCAGATGCAGTAACACGCGGGTTTACACTGACGAGAATCATCCACAGACAACAATCACACTTCATTTGCTATATGAATGCCAATGGAAAATACTGACCAAAGTCTGCAATAAAGTCTATACACCCACCATTGTTTTTGAAGCTTCTGCAAGCTGACATCTTCAAGGACCAATCCAGAGTCTGGGCAGGGTGCTGGTCCAGCATGCATTAAGATCCTGGGTTTTATTCCCAGCACTACAATAAATAAATAAATAACTGGGGCTGGAGAGGACCACTCAGCCTACTTCACTAGCTCTAAAGCTGGGAAGGGTACAGGACCGGGGATGCTGGCTGCCACCTTCCATCACGATGCAACCTGAGAATAAAGGAGGGACAGCAGAGTCAAGGCTGGGATTCAGGCCCACTAACACTTGTCTCTGGATAGACCATATCAACGGCAGTAATTACAATGAAAAGGGTCAGTCCATCCCTATAAATCAGCCGAAGACCACAGCTTTGGAAAAGACTTCCTACAGTAATTGTTAACTGATTTATCCAGGGCTCAGGAGTAGAGCACTTACCTACCTAACACATCCACACCCAACCCAAGACCACTACTGCAGACAGAAAGACAGTTTTTGTCATTGTTGCTACTGCTGCTGTTGTGGTCTTTTTAAATTCCACAGCATACTTACTAGCAAAGTACAAAGAAATAATTTGATTTGGCTTAATTTGATCTGGTCTGGTTTTGAGCCAAGATCTCCTTATATTAAACCGGTGGGTCTCCATCTCCCAGGCTTGGAAGACCTTCCTGTCTCAGCCTCTCAAGTTCTAACCCCACAGTCACAAGGCACTAAGCCCAGCTCAAATAAATGTTTTTAAATCTCCTCATTTCCACTACATACTAACTTGGAACCTCACCACAGTCAGCCTGACAGAAACAGAAAGCAACTTTCAGTAGTGACACAGCCCTCTAGGTCTCTGTCCGTCCCATGTGCCATCTTCCCCTGCAGGCACCTGAAGTGTTCCGATCCCCAGATGTAACAGTGCCTGAAGGGGCAAAGGCATCCTTCTCTTGTGCCTCATCCCTAGAGGGAGGCTAGGGACCAAAAGATGATGATTTTCATCTACCAACCCCACTTCCTGTGCTCTTGTATAAAAGACAAAAGTACTGTGTGGGTCTTAAATGTGGTTACTCACAAATCTCCATTACCAAACAAAACCACCCCACAAACAACTTTGATGGCTCCCAATATGATTTGGATATGAAGTGTCCCCAAAAAGGTACTTAAGGCTTGGTTCCCAGCTAGTGATTCTGGAAACTTTAGGAGGTAAAGCCTGGAAGTAGGTCACTGGGTCATGTCCTTAGGGGTGTCTTGTCCCTGTCTCAGTTCTATCTCTCTCAGCTTCCTGTCTGTCATGAGATGAACAGCTTCTACCACACACCCCTGCCGTCACAAACACCTGCCTCACAGAGGCACATGTCTGTATTCCTAGCACTTGGTAAGTAGAGACAATCAGGAGTTTGAGGCCAACATAGGCTCCATGAAACCCTACCAAAGGAAGGAGATGGAAGGACAGACAGAAGGAAAATTAGAATGTCCTGACAGATGTTTTATTACAGCAACAAAAATCTAACACAATCCTCAAGCCGACAGTGATGTGTTTTCAAAGCCAACTTTGAGTCCAAGTTGTTTAGTTTACAAGACTCATTACAGGTCAACAGTATACTCAACAGTCACTAATTCAAAGCCCAGTGACAAGGGGGAGGGGGGAGGCTATGAGAAGGCAGGCCACAGGGAAAGAAATAAACCACCAGTGAATCCATGAAAAGAATGTACAATCATGACCATCATTAAAGGTATAAAAACCAGCTGAGTGGTTTTAATCCCACTTTAATCCCAGTACTCAGGAGGCAGAGGCAGGTGGATCTCTGAATTTAAAGCTAGCTTGGTCTACAGAGTGAGTTCCAAGGCAGCCAAGGCTGCACAGAGAAACCTTGTGTGGAAACACACA